TATGAACAAAATATACTAATGAACATTATTCAATAGTTTGTACTAGCTTTAAGGACAAGATCTATGATCAAAATATTTTAACGGACCTTTTATCAATTATTCAATAGTTTGTGTAGGAGTGATCGAAGTGAGCATTAAGGACAAGATCTATGAACAAAATATTCTAACGGACGTTTTATCAATTATTCAATAGTTCGTACAAGTGTTGAGGACAAGATCTATGAACAAAATATACTAATGAACATTATTCAATAGTTTGTACTAGCTTTAAGGACAAGATCTATGATCAAAATATTCTAACGGACCTTTTATCAATTATTCAATAGTTTGTGTAGGAGTGACCGAAGTGAGCATTAAGGACAAGATCTATGAACAAAATATTCCAACCAACGTTTTATCAATGATTCAATAGTTTGTATAAACGTTAAGGACAAGATCTATGAACAAAATATTCTAACGAACGTTTTATCGATTATTCAATAGTTTGTACAAGCTTTAAGGACAAGATCTATGAGCAAAATATTCTAGCGAACATTTTATCAATTATTCACAAACAAAACAAGCTGTTAATGTGAATCAAGAAAATTGCCTATTACCATGTTATTACATCTCTCATGGTGGTGAGTATATTAATTAACATGTCCAAGATATCATGCGATAAATGGTATATGTATATATAATACTTAGTTAATGAATGCAATAATGTATACCATTACGTACACCTTTGGTATTAGATTATGTTATTAAAACATAGCTTTCTGAAAAGTTTGAAAAAAGATTTTAAATGGGATAAAACCAAAAGAAATTGTTGTAATTACGGGAATTAATGATATAATCAAAAAGATTGTATATATGACGACTAGAAGAAATAATAATCGATGATTACAATAGTTGATAATTTTGATAATGCGACACCAGAATTGGTCAAGAAAACTGTAGATTTATTAAATGAAGAAAATTAAGGTATTAATTTGTTATTTATTTTTCATAATCAAAATCAAATCAGATATTGATAATAAACGTGGTTTAGATCATGGAATGTTGGATTCCATTAAAAATTGCAATACCGGACCCTAAAGATTTACCAATTATACAAGTTTCTTTGAAACGTCACGCTTCATATGAGTTTCACATTAAAGTTGGTAAAGCTTTGGCATCTTTAAGGTAGTTGTTTTAATTCTAAAATTCTAATTCTAATTCTAATTTTAATTTTAACTCTCAATTAAAAAAAGAAAACCAAAATGTTTTAATAATGGGATCCGGATCTCTGATAAGAACCATGAATATTAATAAAATGTTTGTGGTTCCTTATTCTCGACCATTTGAAAAAGATGTTGATTATGAACGTGAACTAAATTAATCAAAGATTTATCATCTCATCCTCTGATAAGAAAAGCTCATCCAACTGATGATCATCTAGTTCCGTTATATTGTTCAGTTGGTTCTGCTGGTTCAGAACTTGGTAGGGAAATATATGGAGAATTAGTAAATGTTTATAGCATGGGTGTTTATGAATTATTAATACTAAATTTATTAAATTTTTGCTTGTATTTTTATTATTTTATTTATTAAATTTATTGAATTTGCTAAATATCAATTTATATAGATTTATAAACGAGTGGATTGATTGCATACATATATATATATACTAATGAATGAATAATTAATAAATGAATGAATAAATACAATTCTTCTATTTATATGTGTATACGTATAAAAATTGCTTTATATAATATATTATTATGGTCGCCTAGAAGAATAATTAAGATCCCAGAATCCAGATGGTTCATCTTCAGGAATAAATTTGTATCGATGTCTTGATACATGTTGTTTACGAGCTTTTAAAAGTTCTTCATCACTCCTGGTATCTTTTAAATCTCCTTCATGTTTCTTTTCATCGTTAATTGGTAATGATGAATATATACTAGGTGGTAAAGGTAAAGCTCCTGTGATTTTATAAAACTAAATTAAATTAAATAAATAAAAATATTAATTATAATTGTTATTAATAATTATTATTGAAAGATGATGATATACTAACGTCACGACATTCATTACAATCTATAGCTTTTAATTTAGCACGTTCACTTTTCTTTCTTGTAACGGAAATATATTTTACGGGTTTTGATGAACAAGTATTAGAATGATGCATATGGGAGGATTTTTGTTGACATAATGTGATAAAATCATATTAATATATATATATAATGATTATTTGGTGATTTAGTGTAACATTAGGGATGTAAAATTTTTTTTTGAAATTTTGACGCGTTTCTTTATTTATCTATTTTTAGTGGTTCAACTAGTTTGATATTACGGTAGTCCAAGGAGGCAACGATTTTGTCAATCACTTTAATTAATGCAATGTCAGTAACATCAACTAGAATATTTTGACATTGAATTTCTTCTATCACTGGTAAAAAAAAAATAAATTTAATTAATAATTACAGTAAAATTGAAGGTTTAATTGATTTATCCCCTGCCAATTATGTCATTTTTATGTGTACAAAAAAAATATTACCATTGTTATTTTGCAAAATAACAGTGATAATTTAATATTTTAAATTGGGAAAGATTTGTAGTACACATTTAATATATTTATTATAACTTCACTAATGCATCTGAACTTTTGAGACAAAGATTTGATGACAAAAGATCTATTAAAAATATATGAACCCTCAATTGAAATTTTAAATAAATACAAAATCATTCAGAACCCAAACACACAAAAAAAAAAATACCAAAACATGGTTTAATTGTTTTAAGGAATACATACACAACCATCTATCAACTTTATGATAAAAATGTTATTTCTGTATTATTATTTGAATTTGTGGTAACTGTAAAAAAAAAGAGATGACAAAGATTTTAAATCTGATTCTTTATATAATGAATGATATACGTGCTATTAATAGACGATTTCAAGAGTTGTTCAAACATCAAGTACCCTTCAATATTCTTCAAGGCTTTGAGTTTTTTACATTTAGAGATATCCAACATGCACGAATGATAGAGCTAGAAGAAATGAACAATGGTAAATCTAAATCTGAAGAACTTTTTTCTGAAAAAGAGATGTTTCATATTTTTCAAACACTCATGACAACTCCAGAAGGTTTGTTTAGAAGGGTCTTTTTACAGGTATGTTATTGCTCTACCAGGCGTGGAGGTACTTATCGGGAAATTATTAATGATCATTTCAAAAAGTGTGCTGATTATTTATGTCGTATATTTACAATATTATATTACCACTTAATTCGCAATCCTTTTAAGAAGGAAAGATTTTGAAAATAAAGAAGTTGAAAAAATATAGACCCTTTAATTATTTTTTAGTATTAGATCAAGTCAAATCAAGAAAATTTCAAAATATTTATACAATAAAAGAGGGCTACCACACAACAATAATGAAGAAAACCATATAAAGAAATCTTTTATAACTATAGTATAACAAACTTTCATCACATCACCCTTCAGCATTGCAGCAAAAAAATATTAAAATCATCAAACTGAAGGTCAGAATTTTTTTGATAATGCATATCTCAATTATTTGTTATTCAAATTAATTGTAAATTGAATATTCAAACAATAACCTTTATTTAAATGGAAACTTTAAAACAATAAATAACAAGTAACATCAGTGACAAAGTCACCGTCATATCATATTTCTGGTTTCCATATATTTTCTTTCTAGAAATTAAACCATTACAATACAATCATAATAGCTATTACTAATACTTGTTTTATTATTACTAATAATTGTTTTATTATTACTAAAACTATTACAACTGTTACCAATATTTCTTCTTTATCATTACATTTCATAAAATGAAAAAATCAATACGCGTTTGAATTGTCTTTAGTGCCTGAGTTTGAAGCAGATCAATATTGGCATGTAGAGCAACTTTTACATACATACGAGTTGTGTTAAATTGATTTTTTCGGATTTTAACTTTAAAGTTAACTATGCGTAATAGTCATTATAAAGTAATATTAATAATAAAGTAAAAACGCACTTGGGCGTCTGAATTTGAAGCAACATACGTTGATCAATGTTTATACGTAGAACGACCTTTACATAGCACACAAGATAGGTTTTTGTTTGGTACAAATTTTTGTAAGTTTTAATTTAAAAGTGATGAAAATAGAAAACAAAGAATGCTGAAATCCTTTTATTGTTGAGTCACGATAAGTCAATCACTAGAGTTTGGCGCTGATTGAAGTTGTTCTTTAAATAATGCAATTTTCATTTTCAATTTTTCAAGATTTATATTAATTCTTTATCAATTGATCCTGTTAGAGAAAAATTTAAAGGCAATAAATAAACTATTTTACTGTCAAAAAAAAAACCATTATAACAAAAAGTTAGATTATCACACAATATTACGAGAAAATTGCCTGTTACCATTAATTCCGTAAAGAAAAAGGAAATAATGTAATTGTTATTCTCAAAAAAATCTTCACTGTTAAAACATCAAGTCGACTTTTATATTTTATATTTTTATATAATGTCATATGCTAGATTATTATCATCATTATCACCAGAAAGAAAGGATTTTCTATCGTAATGCAGTGGTTAATTCTGATAGAGAAAGTAGAAAAAATAATTTTTTTTCATTGGTCAAAAAAACAAGGAGCTTTCCGAAAATGAAAATGAATTTTGCAAGGAAAGGTTTATTTATGAGTTTGAATTAAGTAATGCAGTGTATGGATTGGGCAAATCAAAAGAATGTAACAAATGTAAATTGACAAGATACTCTGATAGATTCTGTGAAGGTTGTATTAGATTACAATTACAGAGTCTTTTCACCACTTGGACATCTGGAAATAATATAATTGATGATTTTATTCAACAATGTCAAACAAAATCTTCTCTGCCAACTTACCCATTAATTAATAAAACCTTAGATTTTAGTAATGATAGTAAAGAAAAGATGCGATGAATGACTAATTTAATCTCCACTATAAATTTATTCATTATTCATTTCTTAAAGCTAAATTATTATAATAATAAAATTTTTATAGTTTTTTGATTCTTGTTAAATGATGGGATAATTTTGTCATTTAATTGCAAGCAACTCACAATAATTCAGTGCTTTATCAATTAATTAGTTATGAATTTACTTTGGTTCTCGATTACTGCATCTAGGCGAATCTGTGGGCATACTTGATGGTATCAGATAACTGTAATTAATAAAGATTGCCCTCTTATGATGTTATAAGTTCTTTTTAATCACTTGTGATCGGTTTATTTCAATCGTTTGCCCTTGTTTATATTTATTGGCCGATAGCAAACTCGCTTTGGTTTATTTACAAAACAACTCAAGCAAAGCCTTACATTTACAATTACAATAAAATACTATCAGTATTTCCAATTAATATTCGGACAACACTTCGTATTCATAGAATTGACTAGTGAGTGTTAGTGATAATCACCATCACGATTTTGATAAATATTGCATGCTAAAATTCCTCGAGTTTCAGGAGACATATTTACAAGTATTAGATATTTAGATTATTACAAAGTGAAGATGGTAAATAACATAAGTTATTTTATAATCACTAGAATATATTTTTTTTAATACTAGTGATGTTAGCTGGCTTAGACGACTTACACAGCTTAGCCGGCTAAAAAAATTTCTCTTGACATTCATTTTTATATCTGGAATTTTAATGCAGAATTCAGTGACATAAACATTTAGTTGAGATGTACAAATACATAATAATAATAATAGTTTCTATTCATAATACAAATTCTTATTTTAATTCGAATTATTCATTCTATTCGAACCACTAAAGGCGAGATATTATATAATAACAATAATAAATAATAGTAATAATAATTATAGTAATAACTATAGTAGTAGCAATAATAATAATACCGGAAAGCTTAGTACCATCTGAAAAGTTTTTTCATCAACTGGGATTTATTTAAGTTCTTATCCGGCTAACATACTATTATTAATTTATAGATCATAACACTTCTACAATATTACAAAGACGCTCTACCAATGGATTAATTTTATAAATATTATATTGCTCTTCAGATGATCCGATGCATTTAATAATCCACTAAATGTTACCATTGGTTGATGATGGCTAAGAGTAATTAATAAATTAAAAACAATATATTATATTATTACAATAAATAAAGCATTTATAGTAATAAATTTTTTCTTATACTTTTTTCCATGATATTGCTGCTGTTCTGTTGTAGCTGTCAGCAATTGCTTGGGTTAAAAGTTGCATCAATATCTTCTAATAATATAATGCTTCGTTGGGGTGCATTGCTCATCAAAATGATTCGATTGATCAAAATTCTGCCAAATTTAATATACTGTATATTCCAACTCCCCTGCAAGTGCTTGTAAAACTACTTTTGCCACTTCCTGATGGCCCATACAACAAATACCCACGCATATATGGTATTCCTAACATTATTAACATTCATGATACTAACAATAACAAATATAACCATATTATTATTAAATAAGTATATATCTAACCCAATAATCTACGTTTCTCGATAGTCCAAAAGGTGACCATTCAGCCCCAACTAGTAAAAATAACAGTTTAGCTAATGCTAGCTCTTGTGTTTCCTTCAACAAACAAATGTTGATCACGGGCCAATGTTGTCAAGGTGACAGTTTCCCATGGGCTACCAGAAGTCGCATCTAACAACTTATATCTCGTTGACGCTCAACCTATATATTATCAACAACTTCCAAAGGAACAACTTTTACAACAACTGTCTTAACTCTTCACACCTCCATTGAATAATCGCTCATATTTCTTCCTTGGTTCTTAGTTTATTAAAGGCTTGTTCGTACATATTTCAACATTTGTTTCAAAGAAGTAAATCTGATTCTACAAAAAACATATATAAATATTAAATGAATAAAAATACACGCCTTTCCATCCAAATAAATGTTTTCCTGGTCCTGGTACTAGGCTGAATGCTGTACTAACACTACCATCATGTTGTATAAAACTAGTCTACTGCATATTGGTGTATTCGTTGTTTGGATTGTTGTGACATCCATTGCAAAAACCGTTGGTTTGACTTGTCTCTTGAAGGGATCTCAAGAGATACAAACATTTGTGTTATGGTAAGTCCATACATTAAACCTTTTCTTAAAACTGCTAAGCCTGCTCCTACTTCAATAACTCCAACTCCTACTGAAAAATGCCTGATAATAATGATTCTACCATTTCATTTAAAACGCGCGTCACTAAAGTTTCAAAGTAAGTGTCTAAAAATAATTTAAAAGGTGCTCATATAAATGCAAAATCTCTTAAAGAGCAAGACATTAATGTGATTTTTGGAATAGCCGGGACTCCATTAATTGAGGTAAAATAAAAGAATGTTTCATTTTTTTGGGGATAAGTGTACATTAAAATATTTACATTTCTGAAGGAATACGCTTTATAGGTTTTCATAATCAGTTATGGTGGATGAATATAACTAAAATTTACTCGATTTCTTAATTAAATTCCAATTATTTTCTTCCCTGCTGTGATAAGTATAATATTTTCTTTTTAAATATACATATTCATAAGAGTCTATATATAAAAACAATGTTTTCGTTATTAATTAGGTGTGTTTAGTAGTATCAGTCCTGGTGTTGCACATGCAATGACAGGAATGGCAAGTGTAATGAACGCAAAAGTAAATTGTTGACCATTGTTGCTCCTTGGTAGTTCGTCAGATATTTACCAGAAAGGAATGGGTGTTTTCCAAGTTATATAAACCAAACAATAAATGTTCAACAAGACCAACTAATCCAAAACAAATTCTAAAAGATGAAACCATCGTGAAAATTTTTAGATTTAATCTTTCTAAATAAGTTTGATGTCACGTGAAAATTGCATTTATTATACAATAAAGATAAAAAAGATGTTTTTCTGTTTTTTATTAGCTCAAAGGAATATTTTTCACCCCACAAAAATCCAAGGAACATTTGAATAATATGAAATTTTCATTTAACTAGCTAATTTACGCGGTTAAACTGATTTAATGATTTTCCCTGTTATCTTTTTCACACACACATGCAAGTCTACAAAATAGGTCTTTTTGTTACAAGAAGCCATTTATTAATTACGAACTTACATTAATCTTTTATACGCGTCTAAATGATATTATCATATGATTAAAATCAACCCCACACATGCATGTATTTAAAAAAATAACCCAGCAATATCGAATCAATAATGTTTAATATAAAAAAAATTTCTTTTTGGCATGGTTTTTATTTTATTAGCTTTAGTTTTTTACTTATAAAAAAAATAAAATATAATTTTTTAAAAAGCTATAACGCTTAATAATCATTAAAATCATTATATGAAAAAAAAAATATTTCCAAAAAAAAAATTTTTTTTAAAGTTTTGTGTGAAAAATGAAAATGAAGAAAAAAAAATTTTTTTTTGATTGCAATGATATACTACATGATCAAAAAAAATCAATTAAGAAAAATGCTTTTTTTTTTTTTTTTGATATTTTTGTTGTGGGAGAATTTTATTTTAAAATAAAAAAATCCCTCAAATGATAATAATTAAAATAAAAAAAATTTTTGAAAAATATACAGAAAAATTGTTTTTTTTTAAATTAAAAGATTATTCATAAAATGATATCATTAATTATTAACATATATATATTAATTATATATTAATTAATATATATGTTATACCCTACTATATCCTATATCACAATCATTACTATATATTTATAACAATATTTTTATAAAGTGTTTGATCTTCTGTTATGAGAACGTCGAGATGATGATGTTGTAGTCGCTGCTGTAGTTGTAGTATTAGTAGTAGCAGCTCTGTAATGGGATGTAGATGATGATCTTTTACGAGTTGTTGATGAAGGTATTTTACTGCGGTCTTTCTCTTTTCTGCTATTTTTATTATTATTGGTTGGAGAATCATAGCCTGTCAAGTATCTCATGTATAAGAATGTTTCTGCGATACCCACAATAACACTGCCAGATAAAGCAAGTAATACACGCTATATAATTGGAGAGATGAAAATAAGCAGTATAATAAAATTAGTTATTTATCATAATTATTGGCTGGCTATAAAACTGTAATTCATTATAAATATTCATTATTTACCATTCCAGTATCACCAGTAATCGTTTGAGCAACATGATAAACAGCTGCGAATACAGCAACAACGGTAAAGGTGATGTTGATGATGGCAGTGAGTTGACCACGAATACTTTGAAACTCCTCGGTATCAAGTAATTTAAAAGTCTCGACATCATAAGAAGAGGCAACTTTGCCAACCATACGAGCATATTCTTTATTGGCTTGTTCTGCTAATATTTTTTCTAATTTTGCAACCAATTCAGGACTCTAAATTATGTGTGTGACCGTGAGAGGGAGAATAATTGTTAATTGACTTGTTTTTATAATTGGTCATTTTTTAATGTTAATAAAAACTTTCTAAATTAATTAATTAAAAATTTTTTATATATGTATTGTATATATATATATATATAAATATATATAAAAGTACCTTGACTTTTTCTTTACGAGGCTGTACATAAATTCCACTTCCAGTAAGCAATTCGTGTAACCAATAACTAGAAAGACCTGAATGAATTAGAAAATGGAAAAAATAGTAAATTATTAGTAAAATGGCGTTTTTTTTTCATGTGTACAACAAAATAGATTAATTAGAAAGATGTGTGCGTTGTTTGTGTGAAAGAATAATTCTGGCTAATAAGAATTTTGCAAAATAGAAGAAAAAAAAATAAAGAAAAAATTTACAACAAATAATAAAAAGTTGACCTAAGAAATAACACTATTACTATTACTATTATAAAAAAATACCGGAAATTTTAAGAATATCCGAACATTATTATTTTTTTTTTTTAAGAAAATCTTTCTAAAATGGGTTACTTGAAAAAACGAAATTCTTTTTGTGACGACATTTCGCGCCCTAATGGCAACTCGGAGAAATATAAAAAAAAAACCGGAATAATACGGGATATAGTGTGATAAGGACACCAAGATTTTCCAAATATAGTAAGAAGAAGTGTCAAATTTGAAATTTGACATAAATAAATTCACAAAATAAACGGGTATTTATTATATATAAAGTAAGAGTAATAATAATAATTAATTCTAATAATTAATTTACTAATATAATAATATTTCCTTTTTTTCTTACCAATTTCTCTGCCCAGTTTTCCATCACGACTCACTAAGAAGTTGGAAACCTCCTTGATAAGGTCCAATGGAATGCAAGCACTTGCTTTCAAATATGATCTCAAACGTTGTCTTGCTGATTCATCAAATTCTGGCGATTGTATAGCTTGATAGATTGCAGTTCTGATACGTTCTGTCAATACCAATAATACCATGTTTAAGAAGATTATAAAATTTTATAAAGAAAGTATATAATATTGTATGTAAATGTGAAAAAGTATGAGAATAATGAAAAGAATATAGAGAAGTGAGATTTATATTTTATAAAAATTTAAAAGTTTTGGTTTTTGGTTCTTATAATATTTTTTGTCGTTACAATCGTGTAAATTTTTTTTATTTCGTCACAAAAAAAATAATAAAGATGACTTAAAAAATCATAAATTTTTAAATTTTAATTATATAATTTTTTTTCTTCCTAAAAATTTAAATAAAAATTTAGAGAAGAGGAGAGAATGTGGAAGAAAAAAAAAGATGGAAAAACTCGTTATTTGAGTAAAATAATTTTTTTTTAAAAAAAAAGAGGATGAATTACTTTCAATATATTATATAATATAAAATTTATTTAATTATAAAAAATTAAAAGAAATGAAAAAAAATGAAATATGAGAAATAAAAAAAAAGACGTCGTAAAGAAACAAAGTTCTAAATTAAAGAAAATTCCTTACCTCTATCTCTATTTATATGTAAATATTTATACAATGATAATGGTGTTGTTATTTGTGGTTACGCTGACGCACGTTTTTAATTGATTTATATTGATTTTAGTTGTTGATATGTATTGATTTTTAGTAATTGATTAATTTATATTAATATAATTACTACTATTATTATTTATTATTAAAATAATAAAAAATTTTTAAGAAAAAAAAAAAAAGTAAAAAAAGAAATTGTCAATAATAATAATAAATTAACATTAATTAAATTATAAATAAAATTTTTTAACCTTTTGAAGATTTATTCAAATTCAAACAAAAAATGGTGAATTTACAAATTTAACGATAAAGTATAATAATGATGATTACGAAAATATATTATGAATTTTTTTAATAATGCATATAATTTTAGGTATTATTATTTGAAACTACAATATATAATATTATGTAGTAGGTTTACTTTATGTAGATATTCTATTATGCACATGCACACTACAAATATGCGTGACACAATCAATACATACTGTGGCCAAAGATTATCGTAGTTAGTATTAATTATACATTGTATATTAATATGTATGCATGTTAAATATTACAAAAAACGTGTTGCCATTAAAAGTAATGAAAATCAAAAACAAGGTGTCCAAACATGCATCATTACAGACAATTATTATATTATCATTTATGTACGAAGGTGTGAATATATTATCATGAATGAATGATAAAAACAAGACAATAGATATACAATATACATTCACAACTCTGAAAAATTCACCACTTTACTTGTTTCATCTTCATTCTATTCTTCTAATTTATACCAAACATGCTGATGAAATGCAAATGATTTCCTTTTTTAATTATTTTATCTAGAAAAAATATCATATAAGGCTGAGTAAGAAGAATCATTATAATGCATATATTTGTTTGTTTTTTGATTTTTTTTTTGAGAGCTGGACCGAGTGGTTCAAAAATTAGATGATTTACATTGTATTTTTATATTGTTCAAATTCTATATTCACATGAAAATTCATAAGTTTATATATATATAAAAAGAAGATCTACAAAAAATTTTTTTTCCTTTCTATCAGCCGATCGGATTTGTAATAACTATAACTTTAATTATTTTAAATTTGTTTCCCTAGTACCAGTGATATTTCATTAACTAGCATTAAGATATTTTTTTACGATAAGAAAATTCAGCAGGGGAAATTATGATATAACCTATTTTTACTTCGTCCGAGAAATTTAACGATGATAATCGCGGCGAGCTTAGCGAATCCTGAATTTGTCTCATATAGGGTTATTATTATTCCACCACGGCCAGAGAAAATAGGATAAGCCTACCGGAAAATGCATAGGTGCAAAAATTGCTTCATAAAAATCAATAATAGTTCGCTTAAACCAAATTTTTTTAATTAGTAGTTGTATATTTCAAATATTTTTTTAAATATTAAAAATAACAAATAGGACCTTCCATTTTTTAAATAGTTTTGAATGAAATACCTAATATAGACCAATTTTGTCAATAATAAGATGTTCACAACCTAAATAGGGCTGGGAAAAAGTTTTGTATTTTCCCTTAAAAATTTTTTTCTAGTGCAGGTAAATTTCCAAAGTAAAAATGGAAATAAAAAAATTTTTAAGAAAATTTAAATTTTAAAGTTAATTTGTTAACATCACAATTTCTTTTTGATCATACATGGATCACACGATTGTTTTTAACCATTTTGTTAATTTTCACTCATTACTCTTGAAAATTATAAAAAACATCACCAACTTTTTATTTTCAGTTAAAAAAAATCAAATTACAAATCCTTTAATAATCATTGCAAAAGACAAATTTATTTTTGTTTAAAAAATCAAATAATAAAAAAACTGTTTATGAATTTTTTTACAGGTTGTTGATTGGCCTCATTCTTGGTTTTTTGCTTCATTATAAAACCAACTTTGTGATATAAACCAAAATAATCGATAAAATAGAACCTAAAATAAAATGTAAATCAAACAAACTCACTAATGATGAAAAATATTTAGAAGAATTCAAAATAAAAAAACATTACTTTGAATGTGAATAGTTCATGCATTTGATGAAACTTTTAAGGAACTAATTTTTTAAAAAAAAGCCACAAGAATAAATAACAACTATTCCAAATTTTGTTTTTCTTTTTTCCCAGTTGTGGAGTTCCCTGAAAATCATTTCCAAAAAAAATAAAATAAAATGAAATCTGATAGATTTAATAATACATGCAATCGCCACAGTGATTAATACAATTTCAATAAATTTCAAGGCCACGCACCCCCCTGAAATTTAATTGGCCTTAGAATAGTAATCAATTTCCAATAATCAAAGGTTACATATTGAATCATTTTTATGTTTTCATCTTCAATAATTTTTATCTTTAACATTTCTTATTATTGTTTAATACTAATAATTACAAATATATCAATCATTTGTTTAATGTCCACATTTTGATATTTAAGCTATTTTATAAAAAAAATTAACAAAACCATATATGGGGCATACTGCAACAAAACCAGACAAAGTGAACAAACATTGATATTTACCAAGAATTTCAGGGATCAAAATTTAGTCATTTGTAATGTGATCATAATTAACAGTTTTATAATATCTCATTTGTTATCTTAATTGATATATAGAACTATCCCTATATACAAATAGTTAATATGAAACTCATTTATATCAGATCTACTATGGAACCCAAGAATTACAGTACCATAGAAGTATTTTAAAAAAAGAACAAGGTGAGAAAATTGCTCCCTATATTTTCAAAATAAATGATACTCAAACACTAGAAGCTTATCTAAGGAAAGAAAAGATTACCTATGAAATTTACCAAGAAGAAAGAAAAATCATAACTAATAAAAGAACATTAACATAAATCCATAAAAAGTTTAGAAAGAAAAGAAAATTGGAAGAAAGAAAATTTATTACCTAATTATCAGCACAGGTGACATGTGTATGTTAATATTACAACAAAAAGAACAATTGCCACATGACAACTTAATATTATTAATTTATTCTGTCTTTCTTTCTTCAAAATAAACAATTTATTACTATAAGCAAGATTGTTTCCCCTGCTAAAAAAATTCAAGATAAATAATTATTTACTGCAAATTTACAAATTTTTATAACTACATGAAAATTACTGAGAGTTGTACATAGATAATTCTGTATAAAATTGTATATTTATATAGATTTTATATGCAAAAAAATTGCTGATGTAGCTTAGAAGTTGAGGACAAATTGATACAGAAGAGGAAGGAAAGAAGGCATCTTTTGTTGGTGTATCTAGTAGGAGTTTTACTCTAACATTTTTTTATTCATCATTTGAAACAAGAGTTTATTAATAAAATATAGATTAAAAATTTGTTTAAAATTTTGAAAATAAGAGTATATTTTATTGCAAAGTTTTGTATATAATATAATTAATTAGCTAATTTCAAACAGCTATAAATAATATTAATAAACTGATTCTGATTACCAACCAAGTGGAAAAAACTCCCAAAGAAAAAAAACAAGTAAATATTTTTTTAAAAAAAGATGATAGAAATATATAAACAATATAAAAAACATTATTAAGGAGTGGAATTTACATTTAACTTGGGAGGGTTTTCCTCCATCAAACGTCTACACTTCCCCTGAACATTACTGGTTAATAAATTAGTAATGTTCCTTTCTGTTTCCATGAATTTAACCTATATTTTTACAGGAATTAAAATAAATAAAATTTCTGCAGATTGGCTATAATGTACAAAAAACAATAGAAACTTACCTCCAAACACTTAAGGATGCAATATATGTCTTCAAACATACTACAATGTGTTTCATCAACTGGTAATTGACATTCATCCACCTTCCCAATTCTATATACACCATTTCCTATCCAATTCATTGCATAAAAACTAATTACTAGTCCTTAATATTAATTGTACAATACATCCATTAGTGAATCTAAATTCACATTCTAAGTATTGGTTGTTTATTTTGAAACTTACCCACTTGAATCCACCCATATACAATTATTTTTCTTCTTTCAACATCTGTAACATATTTACAATCTTTAAAAAGACTATTCAAGCTGTCTCGCATCAACACCATCAATTTCAATTTATCAAGATATTGTTTTTTATAACAAGCAGATGGGGTTCCAAAAGAATTCAATCCTCCAGATACCTCTCCATAAACTATCTTGAACTTAATTGGGGTCATCAATAATAATGCCTTCATGTCTACATGCCGACCAATATGAGCTCTTTTAAAAGGGCTCTTGTTTTGGTTTCTACAAGATTGGCTAGCAAAAGACTGTATTTCTCCCCTACATGTGAAAGAGTAACATTCAGTGTCATATAGAATGAATCAAATAAATACAATAGCTTACCAAGAATCTTTGATATGAGTATTCTTTGCAAAACAAAGGGAATGTTGTGCATGTTTTTAATTCTTCTTCAGTCATTGCCCCTTTGAAACAATACATATTATTTTTTCTGGAAGTAGAAATATAATGTTAGAATACACACCAGGTAATTATTCATGAAAGAAACATTACATACATAAACTGAATATTTGAATCAAAATAATTGAGATTATCATCATAATCAACATCATTGAGCTTCCTGCAATTTATATTGAAATAATTCTGATGGGTTTCATTAGCTGGAACAGGATTCCATCTTATGCTGTTGAAAAAGTCTTGTGATAATAAATCCATATCTTTTTCAAAGTTTTCTTTTAGTTTCAATAAACTTTCTCTGGTGAGGTCTAAGATACCCCAATATCCAGGGCTGAATAATGGCAAATGAGTAAATAAATATATCAATTATTAAGAAATAAAAATAATTATTCTAGAGCTCACATGATAGCATGTTGACTTTTCAATATAGACTTTTGGTAGTTACGGAAAGCGGAAAAAAAGCTTTCCCCAGAGAAGGGAGCAAATTTTGAAAAACCCTATTAGGGATAATTGATGAGAGTAATGAGCATACAATATGCTTAGTCACAAATGCTTGTAATAACAATGAATGCTTACCTCGCATATGCTATTTTCATCAATTAATTTTAGTAAGTCCTCTTCACTTCTTTCATCAAATAATATTTCCTCAGCATCAATATTAAGAATGTCATCACTTGAATTTTTACATTTTGGAGTAGTTGTTGATGGCCATTCAGAAATCAAATAAAAAACAAAATTCATAAATAACTAATGACAAGTGGTGATAACCACCATTCTTAAAACACTTGCTCATTTCTCGTTTCAAGAATATTATCTTCTTGATTTCTTTTTCTTCTTTTGTTACCTGAAATTGAAGACATTCTTATAAAAATAAATTTTAAAAAAACAAATGTAAACAATATTATTAATATTATTAATAATATTATATATTATTATTGGCACTTGGTGTTGCACAAATATTTGTTTTAATGCGAATTGATTTTTTTTTTTTTGGAAAAACAATTTATTTTTTGACAGAGTCCAAGGTGACAAAGTGTGAGTGTAGTTGTTTGGTATGATATGGTTTGGGTCTGAATAAAGAAAAATCTTGTTGTATTTCAATGAGGTTTTTATGCCATTGGTTTTTACAGTCATTAGAGATTCCACAATAAAGAAACAAATTTGTTGTGTTTTAAATGAATTTTTTTTATGCCATTGGTGTTTCTACAGCCATTAAAAGCTTTCCATAGCTCTAAATTATAATGTGTAATACTATCTTTCATGAAAATTTGGTGCCCATATCTATGAAAACAGAAGAGGAGTAGTGGTTTGAAAAACAGTATTAGTATTGTTAAGGTTGCTTTCCAAAACCTCTTAATGACTCTAATAATCAATTAGTGTGTAACATTTTGAAACTCTGCTATTTGATTTTTGGCAAGCAACCATAAGTATAGTGCCAATCATCTAAATACATCACAAAATGTTGCCAATCTTTAAATGCTGACACTTTACTAAATATGGGCTATTTTACCAAAAATTGTTTTTGCAATCTTCTAGACATGAAAAATAATGTAATAGAATGTTTTTGAGTTATTTAGTAAAAAAAAAAGTTATAATGGTAGCTTTACTATGGTTGACTCGGTCTAAAGACTCCTATTGCTGCGCCATGTGCACAACTTTCAAAAATTGCAATTTCGTGATTCGTTCAAAAAATGCAATAAAACTTTTCAAAAAAGGTCTTCACGTGATTTTGATTAAAAAATTATTTTACTGCTTACCAAATTTAGATATGATTGTCGATTATTGGTCTAAATTTAGTAACGATGATCGAAAATTAGTCTAAATTTAGCAATGATCCTAATGCTCAAATTCCTCATGAGCATAGTAAAGTACATGTTTTAAAAAAGAATAGAACTCTACAATAAATAATTTTTTTGAGAAAGTCTCTCTATTACATTAAAATTAAAGACCCATTCTATCAACTAATAGAGCTATTTTTTTAAAATGTAGGACAGAAAATGACTTTTATACTTTTAAAATTTGCACAAAGTTTGGGATGCCTTTAGACCAAGCCAAAATATATGTTATTTGAAATTTCGGAAATTATTTATATATCTAAACTGCAATTTACTGATTTACCGATTATTCATTCACGTAGCAAAGTCGCAGATCTCTTACAAATTTTATACATATTGAGTTTATAAAACAAGATCGACATAAAAATCGGCAAGTGGCGCAGCACGTGATGTTTTTAGATGATTTGCATCATATGTTCTTGCATAATTTTGAAAATTCTATGTAATCAATAATATAAGACATTAGATTTCTTACACTACAAAGAATTAAGCCTCAAAGTTGCACAAGCTCGCAATGTTAATCTAGGCCTCGGATAATTCTAATTGAAGTGGTCCTTAAACGGGTAAAGAAAACTCTAATTTTATATAATAATAATAAGAAAAATATCATTACCCATTTAAGGAAATCAAAATGGGAAAATTGCTTGCGTAACAATTTTTGCGTAACAATTTCTTTAATCGTTAAGATCATAAAATAAATAAATTTTGTGTAAAATTCTGCCAACCACGAAAAATTGGCATCGTAGCGCAGAAAACTCTGCGACCAAATAATCTTTCCGGAAGGTAAATTTTAATTTTTTATTTAAAGAAACCTATCGAATATTTACTAGAAAAATTTAAAGAAAATCTGTACTATTTCCAAAGATTTCAATTGGTTGTTTTCAGGTAATTGATGTCGCTAAATCATATTAATATTATTTGATTGTTTTTCTTCATCGATAAATACGTTCTATTACTATCATAACTTACAATCTTGTCACAGTGGACTATTATTAAATTCTTGTCATAACAGGATTTTATGTGTCCCGTTTATCCGCTGTGACAAGGTTTTGATTGTAGGTCAAAAAAGGATAGTCTTTTGATAGCTGAATGACGCCGATCCGATGCATATACTAGTTTTCGGCCAGTAGTGTAGAAAATAGTCAAGTATCTAATATTGAATACTTGAACGGAGATAACAATAACTTATTTCTTTGCCAAGTTTATTAACAGGTAATTTAATAAACAAAAAGTTTTTTAATTTGGTTAACTCAAATGAGCGCTTGGCTAAACTGGCTAAACTCATATGTTAAGTCAAAAAAATTATTACTAAATTGGAATTTAACCCCTTTACGCTTTGCCAGCTCTGGTGTATGTATATACAATTTTATTTTATTTTATTAAATATTTTAAAAAAAAAATTTCTATGGGAAAGTAAGGAGAGTTATAAAAGTTTTTTTTAAAAAATAATAAAATAGTATAAGAATCAAAAATTAAAGTTTGTAAAATAAAAATGAAAGAATTTCGACAAACAATCCATTATTTGGAATATTATTATTGTTATTATCATTAAAAGAAAAAAATCATTTATTTTAATTTGTCATTGAGGTATGAGATAAATGATCGGCAGATGGACCCTCTTCCAATTCCCTTACTTCCTTTGGCCAAACACCAAACAATCTAATAAAACTACCCCAAGCCAAATCAAGTACCCATCTGGGTAGGAAATTATGCATGAAAATTTGTAATTTGGCAACAGTTCCAACGACATAACGATCTTTAGGAAATCCAACTTCAATAGCATCGACAATAGTTCTTACAATATCTTTATTGGCATCGTTGTGAGTAGAAGGAAGTTTTTGCCAAAATTCAAGAGCTTTTTGAATGTAGTCTTCACCATAAAGAGTAAGTGTTTGTTTAGTGAGCTCGGGAGAAGAAAAGAAGTTTTTAGAGATATCCATAAGATCAGAATTTGATGATCTACTCGATGTCGTCAAAGGAACAGATTCAACCATCGAAATATGAATTTTCCATGGTAATAATTCAACTCTGATAGTATCAAGCATAGCTTCTAAAGCATGTTTAGACGCACTATAAGCTCCATAAAATGGTATAGTAGTTCTACCCAATATTGAAGTCATCATAATAATGCGTGGTGAAATATCTTGTTCCTTTTGTGGTTTTCTTAGATTATATTTAATATTTTGCCTTAGATATGGTAATAAAGTTTTAACCACTTTAATCGGTCCCATAAAATTCATTTCCATTGTTTTTAAGATTTGATCATTAGAAGTGAACTCAAAAGCAAAGCCCTCGTTACAGCTTGCATTATTAACTAATGCAAATAAACCTTTACCCTTTGTTTCATGTTCCACCATTCTAGCACATTGTTGAAGAGATGTATCTTTCGTTATATCAAGTAAAAAAGGTCGGAAATTTGGTGCAGAAATATTAGCAATAAATTCTTTGAAAGCTGCTTCTGTCTGACATCCTATATAATTTATAAAATTTTTAAGTTTTATTTTTTATTTTTTATTTTTTTTTTGAAAAGAAAAAAAACGGAAGAATATATTTACCAACAAATACATAATAGCCCCTTTTATGTAAAGCTTTTGCGAGCCAATTACCAACAATAGAATCACATCCGGTAATAAGTACATAACGATCTGAAAATCCTTTATTTGGAGTTATATCAAAAAAACTACCAATATATGAAAGAAGCCCCATTTATAATGAAAGGTTTTAAAAAATTTAATTTTATATTGGTATCTTCGTTAGAAAAAAAGGCACACGTTAAAAATAAAATAATCGAGTAGGTGATGGCGGTGTTATATTATTATTGCTTTGGTAATAATCTAACAATTTATTTATAAATATAATTAGTTTCTTATTGTTGGGAATATTATTATTTATTTATAATTAAATATAAATTATTCGACTAACCTTTAAGATCGTAATAATTAATGAGAAATAGAGTAACGAATGATTATAATAGACATGAAAACAATAATGTAAAAGAAAAAAAGGGAAAAATGAAGAATTTTTTAAAAAAAAGTATCTCATTGATGGATGATTTATTTATATATTTTGAATTCAAATTTTTTTTGGCATGTGAAAAGGTTGATTATTTTATCTGTTAAAAAGAGGAAAAACATTGTTGTATTACTATTTACTATATACTATATACAAAAAAAGAATTAATATTAAATGGATTTGTTTACTTTTCAGGGCCCAGAAATAAGTTAGATCATCATAAACGGGTCCAGGAAAATTCTGATGATCATCGTGACGATCGTTTATGCAAATGGAATCCGGATGCTCAAATCTAATCAATAGATTTCCTCATAGAACTGACTATGTCAAGCAAGTTTCCAAGAAAATTAGGTGCAGACCATAATGCAAGAACGCTCGATGATCACTATCACCAGTTTATCACCAGTCTCTTCGAAAATTAGCATTAAGGCATAAAAGAGGTCATGTGACATCAGTGCAATTGTGATGACGAGCCAGTTACTTGAATGACGACAAAATCATTGCTTTGTATCAGTAGGAAATAGTAATATTCAGTCATCATATGTGATTAGCTTACTAAGCAGTAAGTTCTGATCTAAAGATTCGACGTGCGATCTTCTCAATCTCATCTTGTTTTTCCTCGGGTTTTCATTAAGATCTGGTATAGAACCATGCTTGACAATGTGAGGATCAAGCTGAATGTTTGGAAGCGGCTCGGCTTAGGGATGTCCACTGTAACTGTGTAAGCTACTTAAACACGTTCGGTAAAATTTTCGGTTTCGGTTCAAAAACCGAAGGTCAAAATCTCAACTGTATATTAATATAGTTCGATTTTTTTTAAAAATAGATAATTAATTATTGTACAGATTATATGTATAAAATCTAAGAAAATTTACTTGACCGCCACCGACAATGGTACATATATTAATAATGTAAAAGAAGTTCCATGAGAGGAATTATTTTCATCTTATGTGGCAGTTATTTGATGAAGTTAATTATTTAATTATATTATATTTGAATATTTGAATAGATTTTGCATAATTACGTATTTTTAGAATCAAATTAGAAATTCGTGAATTATTGGACGACCTTCTTTCAAATGTTTGGATACACTTTGTGAAGGAAGTGAGGTTAAAAATAGCAAAGGACATTATTCTGTAAGGTGTTGCTATTGTAGGTTATCCATGGAATTTGAAAACATCTGGAAAAAGGATGTGGTGGTTGTAATAGAGAAATTTGTAAATACTCAATCAAATTTCTTCTAGTAAACAAGAAAACTAAGTTTGCACAATACTAACCAAGAAAGGAATAGAGCATTAATCGGGGCATTTGTAATATGTAGTATACCTTTTAATATTATATTTTATAGAGTTACTTGGACAACTTAGTCCTGCCTACACACCATCTAATAGAAAAGCGCTTCAGAAAGAGTTTTTGATACAAAAGTGACTAGTATTAATACCAAAATTAATCTGCAACTTGTGGAGATACAATGATTATGGATGTTGTGAAAATATAACAAATGATTATGAAACAAATGATATAAGTGATGGTCATTATGAAAACCAAAATGAAAAGAAACCAGTTAATAACAAGATTAATAAGAAAAGATTGTTTGGGAAAAAAAGGTTCGAATTTAGAAAAAAACAGATGTTTTGATAATGTTTTGATAGTTGATTGAGAGAAGAATTAAGCTAGTATGACTTTTGGTTTAGGTTTCAAACTTGTGAATGTTCGAAAGTACTTTCGGTACACTTTCGGTTTCGATACTACTGAAAAAGAAGATTCGGTGGACATCCCTAATCATTACCATCATCATGAACGCTCCTTTACCAGCTAGGTAGGCACAATATGTGATTCTATATAGCAACGATTCGCTGTTTAAATATTAATTAAACTTATTCATATTCTCTGATCTGACCAATATTAATATGGACAAATTAATTGCAATTCATTATTCCTTGTTAGCCAAACTTATTATCAGCAGACCAAAATAAAACTTAATCTTTTAAATATATTGTAATACAAGCACCGGTATCCCAATGGGTGATGATTAAAACTTTTATTTATGCATTTGGGTTCGCATTTAACAAATTTGTTGATTTGCATACTAGAGTCCTTCTCCTCCAGCGACACATCCATCAATCTCCAACACATAGTCACACACAATCCATAATCAAACTCTGTCTGTTGGACCACAGCAACAATATCAGAACCAACAGCAACATAACCAGAATAAACGAAAACTCAAGAAACAGGCCACGATGCAATATGATTTATAGATCAAAAGGGAGGAAGAGTAGATTGATCGTATGCCTGAAATTTAAGCGAAAAAAATTTCATGTTACAAAACATAACGATTTTAATAATAGTGATTGCGCTAAATGGATATTTAAAAATCAATTATTATCGTTTTAATATTTTATTGTCAATATAAATAAATTTACAATTAAGTATAAACGTTAGGCGTTTGATGGTCCTAACAGTGTGTTATATGTATATACTTTACTATTATAATTAATAATAATAAAAGATTCTCAAGTATCTTAATTGTGATTCAAAAATATTAACAATATTAATATACCAGATATTTTTGTCGGCAGCTTAGCGTGTCGTGTGATTATATGTCTCTGTGTTGATATTGGTTTTTTTCAACAAGTAATTAATTGACAAATTATTTTAACCTTTACTAAATTTATAAAAAAAATTTTTAAGTTTGTTGATCGTTCGTCTCAACGAATTATTTGTGCTATTAAACGAAGGTTCGACTATATATTTATTTTATATTTTACAAAATCACCAATTAACTGGTGAAAATTAATAATAAATTGGTCGCATAACAGTGATATTAAGAAATTTTAGATGAAAGAAGATGAAAAATTGACAAGTTCAAGCAAGATTATCAATCAATTGATGAACATTTAGACGTGTGAAATTGAAATTGGCCAATCAAATATGAAAGCATACATATATTTTAGACAAAGGATTTACCATATAAAGCTACAAAATCTTATTATATTTGGATCAAAATAAATTGGCCCTACTACAATCACTACCAGCAGCAACTATAACAATATACATTACAGAAGAAAGGTTAGTAATTCAAACCTATATATTACCATTACTAGTAATAATATTGGCGTAATATCATCAAACATACAAGCCAGTTCAATTATTTATTAGGATCATATAGTTCTTGTGGTGATTCTGAATAAATAAAAATTTTTAATAAATAATAAACAATAAATAATAAATAATAAATAATAAATAATAAATAAAAAAAATAATAAATAAAAAAATAAAAAATGCTACACAACATATAATTTAATATTATTATCTAATTATTATTCTAATGCAGGAGGAAACAAGATTTCAGAAATGTTTCCGAAAAGTCCTTTATCATAAATATTTTTAATTTCTTTTAATGATTTTATTGGTCTTCCTATAACTTTCTTATTGTTGTCACTATTATTATTATAGTTAACATCCTGATTATTTACTTCTTCATTGCCATGTTGATTACTGCTTCCACTTTTACTATTTAAAGGTATTATTGAATCTGGTATATTTACATCATTACCATTATTATTACTATTGTTATTATTACCGTTTACATTTTTACTATTTTTACTATCAGTGGATATTTGACGTTTCTTGATATTTGGCTGAATCCAGTAAATAGACATAGCAGTAGTTCTTCTTCCAAAAAACTTTTCTTCTTTCTTATTATTATCATCGTCATTATTATTATTTTTTCCGGCATTATTTCTTTTTGCTTTCTTTTTATTTTTAGAATTATTATTATTATTCATTGATGTCTTCTCATCATCATTGTTATTATATGACAATGATATTGACGATGGTAACATGTTGTTTTGTTTATTTTTAGGGGTTTTTCCGTCATAAACCCATAATTCATCATTAGAAATTATTTCATCTAAATCTTCCCATTTAAAAGCTTCATTTGAAGTTGTACCACAATAAATCAAATAGAATTGATATAAAAGAAAAAACGTTATTACAAATCCTACTAACAATGCAAAGATTCCAAGTGCGCCCAACAATATTTCTTGATGAATTAAAAACTGTGTAGCAAAAAATAATTTAATATAATAAATGAAATGTTAAAATATTAAATATTAAAATAACGAATTCTATTATATTCAATAATCATTTATTACCAAAGCTCCTTGATAAATACTAAGCGGAGTTTTTACACCAGTTTGTATATTTGTAGTGTAAGCATATTGTAGATTCATTTTTTTAGCAAATCCCAAGAATATGTTAAATATAATATATGTGCCATAAAAGCATATCTGAATTATTGAATAAAGAAATAATAAAAAGTAACGATAATTGTCTAATCCAACACAATTATTAATCCATGCACCTAATAAAATAATATTAGTATTATATAGTTTGATATATTTTGTTTGTAATTTGAATTGATTTCACCACTTACAATGATGATCTAATTTTGCTACACACATTTTACATAACGAACAATGTTTTGATCTTGCTGGTCTTTCCATAAATAGTAATAATAATAAAATTGTTAAAAGTTGTTATTATTATTATTATTATTATTATTATTATTATTGTTAAGATTATTATAAGATTAATTCTTACTTTTGTATTAGACAAGTTTTACAGATTTTTGGTTCGAATAGTAAAAAATCATAATCAAACATTTCACAAGCTTTTGAAACATTTTTTCTAGTAATTTTTCCTGGATCACTATAACATGCTATATAAAATGTTAAATACGTAAATATTATTACTATTGGAATGAGCAATCTAAATAATGTAAATAATATGAATCGTAAGTATACTTGTATGAAAGGTAAATAATTAGATTCATCGTAAATAAATAATAACATTTATTAAAACAATAGTTTTTTGCTCACGTGTGTAATTTAGAAATATATGGTCCAGGAATATGATCCCATCCAACTTGATAAAATACCCAAATGGATCCTGATAATAAAAATAAATAAAAGAGCTAAATAATGATCAATGATATTACAATTAGTATTAATCAAATCAATACTCGCACTTTCATTTTTCAATATTAAATCATCATGAGATTACTTGTAAAATTGGATTTTTTTCCTCTGCACAATAATTATAAGCACGATCAAAGATTCTTGGCATGCTAGTCCCACAAGTTTTTCTTGTTAAAATCCTTAAATTAAAAAAGAAGATATGTTAATTCAAGCCATATTATGAGAAAGAAAACCATTGTAAAAATAATTACCATATCCATTCAATTAATGTTACTGTTAGAAAATTATATAATTTTCCAATTGGACCATTTCTGAAAAGTTGACAATAATTCAGATCTATTTATGCGTGTATATATATATATATACACACAAATTGATAAATATAGTATTATTATTATTCACCTGAATCTTGAAGACGGTCCTAATAATAGGACAAAAACAAAGAAACATATGATGCCCAAATAAATTGCTAAGCCTATTAATAAATCCTAATTTTTTGGAGAATAAAACATGTATAATTTTAATATCTACTTATATTTGTTTTTTATTTTTTTTTGCCATTTAATTTAATTTACCATGGTAATTTTATTATCAAATCGCTAAAACGCTCATGTAACATCAATTTATTCTATGATTTATTTATTTCACTTATTATTATTATTATAATCATATGGATAAATTGACAAAAAGAAAAACGGAAGATGCAGATTTTGAGGTACTATTACTTGCTATCGATAAATGAAATAAAACTTTAACGTATAATATATATATATATCGTTAATTTCAGGATGATTTAGAACATTTGGATGAGAAAGTTGACATTTCGGTTGAAAAACAAGAAAATACAGATCAGCAAATTAGATCCGAAGATAATGGTAGTTTCTAGTTTATCTACTTTATGTATAATAGAATTCATGTTGAAGCATACTATTAACTTATTGTATTTGCCGTATAAAGAAAAATCGGATTCTAGATCTTCTATGAATAAACAGATGGCTAAAAGAATGAGAAGGGAATTATTTTTACAGGTATTATTTCGATTGTGTAATGGACTTCAATTATAACATATGTTATAAATTATATGTATAATTTCATGTAGGATAATTCGGATGAGAAAACTGTACAACAAAATAATAAATCTGAAGTAAATGGTATGATTTAATTGTTGTAATATTCCTATATATTATCTTTTTATTTATCATCATTTATTTATGAATTATTTAGATCTATTGCATCAAGAAACCCCAGTTTCTAGTACTAGCACAAATAAACAATTTGCAAAAAGCATGAGAAGTGAATTATTTTTAAAGGTACTATTTTCAAAAAATAATTTAATTATTTATTGTTATAATGCATATACATATATATATAATATTATATAAATTTGTAGGGTGATTCAGAAGATTCGGATAAAAAAGTTGAAAGTATTTCAAAAAAGCAAGGAAAAAGTGTAGAACGAGTTCTAACATTTGATATTAATGGTAACAAAGAATCTTATTATTGTGTTTTAGTATTATTATAATTGTCATAGTTTTTTAAATAAAATAATTTACATGTAACTAGAGATGGTACGCCAAGAAAGACATGAGACTAGATCTGCTATTGCTAAACAAATAGTGACTAGAATAGGGAATGATTCAAAATATGAGGTATTGTTATCATTATTATTTATAATTATTGTCATTATTTATTATTTTTATTATCAATTAATTTTAAATTCTTTGTAGGATAATTTAGAATATATGGATGAAAATGCTGACAATATAGCAAAATTTCAAGAAAAAACTGGTCAACAAAGTCGAACATTTATTGTCAATGGTAATTAATGATTGCTATTTGTTGTTATATTCTTATTTTTAATAAAAATATATTTTAAATTTATCCTCAATTTAGACTTCTTGAAATCAAAGGAAGCTGAAGAAAAATGTATTTATTGTGTGAAAGACAAGGTTAAATCATCACCATTTGCCATTGTTGCAATAGGTTATAGAGCATATCTTGCATTACCAAATGTAACAGAGATGGCTAAAGGACATTGTTTAATTGTACCAACTCAGCATGTCACTTCCACATTGGAATGTGATGATGATTCATGGGATGAAATTAGAGTAAATATTATATATGTGTGTTATTAAATTAATATTAATGCTAATATTTATATTTATATATTTGTGCAGAATTTTATGAAATGTTTAATGAAGATGTTTGCAGAAGAAGACCGTGGAGTAATATTTATGGAGACAGTGATCAATCTTAAATATCATAATCATACAGTGATAGAATGTATACCACTACCATGGGATATGTCAGAAGATGCACCGGCTTACTTCAAGCAAAGTATTATAGCAAGTGGAAGTGAATGGTCACAAAATAAAAAAATCATTGATACCTCAAAAAGAGGATTTCGACATTCAATGGTTAAAGAATTGCCATATTTTCATGTATGGTTTGGTCTGGATGGTGGATATGGTCATATAATTGAAAAAAGTGAAAATTTTCCTAAATGGTTTGGAAAGGTTCGTTGTTAAAATTTTATTTATTTTTTTTTTCATTAAAAAATTTTTATTTTATTTATTTTAAAAAAGTAAAAAAACATTTTAAAAAAATTAGGAAATTATTGCGGGTATTTGTGATTTATCTCCAGAAGTTTGGAGAAGACCTAAGAAACTTGATACAAAGGATAATTATAAACGAGCACAGGAGTTCAAGAAACCTTGGGATAAATGGGATTGGACAAAAGCATTACAAAATGGTTAATAGTTGAATATTGTATGGAGCATGCTGCAACAAAACCAGAAAAAGTGAGCATTTGTATTATAGTGGTAGTCGTCACAAAACGTTGCAATCTTTAAATTCTGATAATTTATTAAATATGGGCTATTTTACCAAAAACTCTCTATTTTTGCAATCTTATAGACATGAAAAACAATGTAATAAGAAGTTTTGTTTTTTGAGTTATTTAGTAAAAAAAAAGTTATAATGGTTTAAAGTTGGGTAACTTTACTATGTTATTTGAAATTTCTGCAATCATCTTAACTGCAATTTATTGACTACAGTCAACCATCCATAAGTGCACCTCCTCCATAAATGCGTTCCCTCTATGTTCTGCACTGTATGGTCCTTTCCTGGTCCCATTCATATAAAACTACCCTCTAAATTCACTCCTGTGAATTTCATGTGACCACACTGTCTTTATGCAATCCACAATTATTTTCTATTTGCAAATGAAGGTAATGAGAAAATAATGCATTTCGCTGATGAAACTTAAAACAAATGAGGATAAAACGTGCCTTCATCTTCCACACACTAGCTGACACCCTGATAAGATCTTTGATTTTTTTGACTACAACTGGCACCTCAAGAAGCTTCTCTCAGCTCAATACTGTCACATACCTTTTGGGACAACACATTTGTAAAACTTGAGGTTTAACTCAAATTAAATCAGTTTACTTTGGAAAAAAATTGCAGATTCATTATTTACTTACCAATGTGAAACATTCCAGCAACTTGTAGCTGTCTTTCATTTCATTGAAATGAGCTCACTCACTCAGGAATTGTGCATAACCTTCATCAGCTTAAACTCATCTGTCAACAGTTTGGTTGCTTTAAACTTCTTTGTGACTTTGATTGCTCTGTACTCATCAGGAAATTTTCCCCACTGTAATATTATGTCCATAAATTATAATATGCAAAGTTGTAATATTTGCATAAAAAATTATGTAATTTTTACACTGAATGTAATAATTGCATAATATTACAGGGTCCACCATAAACTTATGTAAATAGTGTAATAATTACATCCATGTCAAAAAAAAAATCCTGATGCTCAATGTGATTGATATACATTTGAAGATTCCATCATTTGATATCCCATATTTTTGCATCCTGGATTTTTGCAATGTGTGCATGATGGGTGAATGATTTCAAATTTTTTCTTGCAAAAATGATTGGCATTCCAGTAAAAGGTGCACTCCATGCATTAATTCGGAATTTGAATAAATCTATGCCTTATTATTATATAAAAAGTTATTATTGAACATGCAACACGAATTAGATTTATTGAGACAAGAGAATGCAAGGCTTATGGCTAGAATGGGCTGAACCCAGAGTAAAATACATTACAAATCTGACAAATAATGAAAGCATATCATGATGAGGATGATACTTTGCTCCAGTACCTAGTAACCAGATATTCCACCACTTCTCTTCTGCATCCTCTGAGTACCATCTAAGATCTGTGAAACTGATGCACT